TTACAGTGTTTGTCTGTTGTTTCTTACATCGACCAGATTGTATTGAGTTTTACATCAACTGCCAACAAATTTAGCTGTGAACGATTACGGAAGTGGTCACGGTGTGTATTACTATTGTACGGTTGTACGATGTAGATATTGGATAAGGACGTTTTAAATCAAAGTATTACATTCGAAATAAGTAAAGAAGATAAGAATTATAGAAAACATACCAGTTTCATGTCTCAACATCTCAGCATATTATTCCAAAAATAATAAAAAAAAATATCGAGGATCTTGTTTATTGAATTTGACCCCTACCATAAAAGGAGCTAGATTGGTTTGTGTAGATAATATGTCGGGGCGTAGTAGGATGTCGGGGTTTGTTGTAAAGTCCCGCTAGGCCAGACAATACCAGTAATAGATATGACGGGCGGTATTCTACACCGAAACTGGAGGTAATGTATTAACGCTGATAGATTTAACACTCCAGATACTGGTTATATACAGGTGTTGGTAGGGGGCAGAGATAGATACCACATTATCACAGCGTGGATTATATTGTAACAATATGAGACATTTATGAAAGATTTAAATTGAAAATTAAGCGGAAAATAATTCAATTTCCCTTCACTTAAGTATGCTATAATACTGGTGTTTATGGGACGACCATAACGTGTACCCGATACTCCCGGACAGAAGCCATTTTCTCCTGACCCCCTCACCTCCAAGGACACACTGAATAGTGACGGTGTTAACTTACTCTAATTCTATCAGCACGTGCGCTAACCAATCAATTAAAATCACATATATACGACAGTAAATCCATCAAGTACAAGGGTATAAACAATTCAAAATTGTGTAACCAGTGACCTATTTTTACACTGGTGTGTATGCAATGTCAAGGACACCAATTCATCTGGGGATACTAAACACGAATTAAAAAAGCAAAGCACAAGTTTCATGATTATGTTCTGAAAAACGCTAAAAAATGACGCCTGTTTAACAAATGTGAACACTCACGATTTCATGCTGTCAATAAATCGAAAATATCAGAAGTCCAATTCCAGCGTGCCTACAAATATGATTACCAAGATTTACACCTGTTTGTCCAGAAAATGGGACAAAACTAATAAAGTTCATGTCATCTATGTAAATATATGGGGAAGTTTTTCCCGTCATGTTTGTCCTTGATAATGACTAACACTAAGACCGAGTCTGACCTTAAGCATGAACGATAACGGGTGTTCAAGCTGAACCTGTTCGTAAATATGAACAACACTAAAGTGTTCGCAACTTACCTGAGATCGACCTTGGAAAAGTATCTAAATGTTCCAACCATTCCGCACCGTCGCATGGTACTGGTGTAAATGTATTACGTATATGAATTGATATCTCTACATGACTACTCCGCCCCCTTATTACAGGTCGCCACCTCCCCCTGATGTTCCCCATCCCATCACCCACAAATACTGAACTATGAATCTAGTTATCTACAAACCCCGCAAACGTAAACATCCCTTTCCTCATGGTAACTGAATTTCATTGAGTGCCAATTTCCTTAAAGCTGATTTAAGAGACATTTATGCGGCGAAAAACATCTTTGGTATCAGGATAGGTTTCCTGGGGTAATTATTTTGAGTTATACATTCGTCAAGCTATTAATTGGTCTCGCAGCGTTCCGTTTTGTCTCGTTTCGATTTTTGTGTTTTACTAATGGCTTATATCAGTATTTCAGGTAACGTCACTCATCAAGCCTCCAAGCCAACAAAAAAGAAGAATCTAGCTATTAAATTTCCAAAAGTGGCTTTTCTTTGTCAAACGAAACGATAAGCAGCTGACAGCTCTGGCATTTGATTCCGAATCTATAAGGTAATAATGGAGATTGAATGGACTTTGCCATCAATTTTGGCAATAAATCTAAATAATTTCAAGAATTTGGACCATGTAGGTTTTTGTCTACCTTATCCTTGCTGAAATGTTTTGCAAATTAGCAGACATTCAGTTTTCTTGTTATCCATGAGCATCGTAGCTTGGATGCTAATTGGTTTCGAAATTCACATAAACAATGGAATATGTTGAACTCTTGGTGGCGAGATACGCGCTGATTGGATTAAAGCTTGTTTGTATAGAACCCCTGTATCTAAAGATGTTACCCTATTATATCTGTTTACAGAGATGACCACCTTTTCACCTCCTTCATTATCAGTAGAACGTCTTCTAACGACGGCAACGAAATCAAATTCCTCAAGGCATGTCTTCATTTAGCCGTTTATGTTTCTCAGAATATTTTGTGTCCTGGAGCGAATTCAAATATGTTTCATTTTCATAGTAAAACCCCTGTAAAACAATCAGATTAGCGTGATACGATCTGATCTATAAAAGATAAAATATCGGCGAGCCGGTTGATTATTTTTGATCTATACATTCAATCCGACCTCCTCCCTACAGTAACATTATACCAACCCTTAAGCTACAGTAGACAGAGATAATTACTCTCGATTCACAGCTATACGTCTACTTAAGGAGTCAGAAAACTTGAGTCAAGACACGGGGGTCTAGATAACAATGTTTATAAATAATGTTGTTTGCTGATTAGTTGATATCACGTGCCACGTACTACACTTTGCAAATTTATCACGATCGAAGTTTCGCCTTCATGATAATTTTTATCAGTGTTCAACAGTTGTATATAAAGTCCTGCCCAATGTTCAGCGTTTTTATAGTTTTTTCAATGGTGTTCAGCGATGTTATATAAAATCTTTCCCAAATATTACATGTTTTCATAGTGTTTTTTCAGTGGTATTCAGCAATGTTATATAACGTTTCCCGCCAAATCTTTCCCTTTTCATATTTAATCAATGGTATTCAACAATTCTATTAAAATTTACATTAGATATATCACAGTAACCTTTAGAGAGTTTGATTTTAATCCTTTACATTTACACTACACTATGTATGTGCCTTGCAAGTGTACAATAACACGACCTGTTCTAGATAAAGCTGTGTATATGACAGCTATTCTCATACAGATGGCTTCGATGAACACGATTAAACAATGTCACACCAATTATACATAACGTTTGTACAGGACAGGTTTGTCCAATGCCCCCGGGCTCCAGTTGACCTCTTGACCCTCGTCCGTGCAGACACATGTAGGTCAAAATGAGAAATGACCAGAAAGTGACCGTCATGGTGACATTTGTAAACTCTACAGAAAAGAGCGGTAATGTTGTGGACATTCACATATTGTTTTATATGAAACAAATCTAAGGACAGTCTAACCTGCTTTCAAGGTCACCTCTATATACCAAATACCTGTCTATCAAGGACATCTTCTAAAACAAAACCTGTCCACCAAGTTCACCTTTCTAAAACAAAACCTGTCCACTAAGGTCACCTTTCTATAACAAAACCTGTCCACCAAGGTCACTTCTTTATTAAAAAAATACCTGTGTGCAAAGGTCATCATTTTCCAACAAATACCTGTCCATCTTGGTCTTCCCTTTATACCAAATACGTTTTCTCCAAAGCCAACACCATATAAGAAAACCCTGTCTAACCAGGTCATTTATATATAACAAATATATTTCTGTGAAGTCCACTTGTTTATGTTCACTAGATATAGGCAGTCTGCCTTTGCTAGCCATTTCCCTATCACCTGTTTACTATCTTTTTAAGCAGGTTTAGTTGTACATGTTTGAACACTCTCTATGGTAAACATTCGCTAGATATCGCCTATCTTTGGTGCAATGTTGATGACCTCACATCTTTGCACTTAAACGCTACAACAAGTTTACTATATATAAAAATCAATATCAGAATAAATCAGATTAATATGTTGTTCATGGACGATACTGAACCTAAAACACATTTATTTTGTCATGAATATCGACTAATGAATAAATGGAATGACGGATGGCGACATCACTTGGATCTGTTTAATGATATTTATGGGCTTGTGGGCGTTTATTTAATAATGAACTGACTAAATCTAACGTAAGGATATATACACACTTATTGATCACGTATATCATAACTACCAGCCTCACACAGTCGGTCGATTTACCTGATGAGGAGACAGCTTTCAAATCATAAAATCCAGGTTTACGACATAAGATATAAGAAACGCATGTCAGCTTCAGTATAACTATGTATCAAACAGACAGACAGCCTGACTAAGGTCTTTTTACCTGTAATTAATTGGCTCAGGTGTCAGAGGTCACATGTAGCCAGCGTACTCATTGCCTTACAAAGCTTGTCTTATTATACATAATGTAATCAACTACTATAAACAAATGTGACTTCCCCCCTCCCTCCAACTTCCCAAAAAAAATGTCATGTCCCACATGGGCAAGAAAACCTTTAACGGGAAACAAACGACTGAAACTTTGATGTAAAGTGATTGCAGGTCTGATCAGCTCAATATTTGTGGGATTTTGTGAAAAAATACAAAATTGACCATCCGATGGGAGGTAACTCCAACTTCTCTATGACTTGTACAAAAACTATTTTGTTGATTTTTACACTTTAATACCCAATGTATAATAAGGGAAGTAACTCTAGCAACTCAAGCCATCGAAACCACCAGGTGTTCTATGTTCTGTTCTAAATAACGCACACATTTTCGTTTCATTTGGGATTTTACAGGACCATTTTTGGGGCCTTGGCGGAAACAAATTAAAACATTAAAAACTCATATTAAAATCTCCTATTGAATGAAAACAAATTAATGATACAGAAAGGTTAAATCTGAACATGTTTTAAAGTAAAAATGCGGAGGAGAAAATTTAACGTAGACAGTCATTTTTTTGCGCCAGTTCCATTTCATGGCATGCCGTCATCGTCCATAGTATGACACCACTATCAAGTTTTTGATTGGCAAATGAAATGAAGGACGCTTTGGTTTGCTACATTAGTGACATATAAACAAAACATAACTTAGGCGCATTCACGTGGTAACAGGCATACTATGTGATAAAAGAAAATATGAACTGAAGAAAGGAATTGCAGCCACTTACCTGAAGTTCTCGGACATCTTCGTTGACCACCATCAAACCTTCGTTGTTAAGACCAGGGGTGTCACTCTCTCTTCGTTTTCGGTAGCCTCTTAGTTTGGCACGTACCAAGTTAAACAGGTAGTTCCGGTCCTTCTGCCAAACTTCCTTTAAAGCTGGGTCATGTTCGGGGAAATCATCAACAGGTAAACCAAAGGAATTCCTACTGGCCATGATCGGTAACGAAGATACACCCCATTCGTCTGCTGACGACGAGAAATCTGCGTCACTTCCGGAGAGTTCTCTATCGCCATTTGTATGTCCATTTGCTGGTCCATTTGGAAGAGAATTTCTTCTACTGTCGTCCATTGACGGACTGGGTTTGCGTGGTCTAGATTTCACCTTAGGTGGTGCTGATGACGCCTTAGCTATTCGCGAATGGGATGGAGACGTCACTGATGACGAATTAGTGTAACCGTCTATATGTTCATAACCATGTGATGACTCAGCCTTGACTTTGTCTACTTTGTCTAGTTTTACCTTACTTGCCTCCATCTGCAAACACTGAAGCCAGTTGGATAGTTCTGTATTGTCAACTGCATTAAAATAAACACTTTTCCTATTTGGATGAGAGATTTTGAACACATATGATCTTTTGAATCTTTTCTCTTGATCAGACACATATTCCACCTTTGAGTTGTTCAGAACCACTGCCACAGTCGCGGACTCATCGGGAGCCATTGACTTGAACCCGTACAAACACCCCTTACAAACAACACACCATAGTTTGTGCCACTTGACTAAATGTTTCTGTTGCAAATATCCACTCATGCGTATCTCTTGCAGATCCTTCAGGATAACAGGATTTTCAGGTTTATTGCGTTTTAGTTTGTCCTTCAAATCTGAAGCGGTTCTCAAAATACCCTTACTCAAACCCTTTTCAGATTTGCCAAAGTCAAGTGACCGGGAAAGTTTGCGGCTTTGTGATCGGCCGAGACTCGCCTGGGACTCGGAATCGATCAGACCAGCACTTGTGAAATCAACAGAGGAGGAAAGCGATGACGCACCGTCGTGATCATCCAACGAATTAGAATCTGTGGAATCAGTGTCTTTAGAAGATTTCTTTTTAAACAAACTATCTAAACTACCGAAGGATCTGAGTTTTCTGAATGGATTTGATTTTTTCTGTTGCGGAGAGGATTTTTGGAAATGAGTAGCCTTTACAGGCTGCGGTTTAACAATCTCTGGTTCCGTATCCCTTCGCAACCGCCGACGGAAATCTCCAAGTGAGTCTTTTGGAGGAGACGTTCCTGCAATCGGACTTGAACTCCCTTGTTCAGGACTTGGAGAGGCTTCAGCATCCCCAACATGTACCCCATTCGTAAAGGATTCTGACTTGACCAGCTTAGATGTCCGAATTGAAGTTCTGGCAGACGGAGCATATTTGGGTGTGACGTGAGTTTGAGCGTCTCCTTTGAGATTTGGGACAGGCCCACTAACCGAGTGACGTCTTGGGCCAGTGGGTGTATCTGTTTGTATGTCATTCTCTAAATTTGACGCCGGTTTGAGATACGCCATCCAGCAAAGTAAGTCTGATTTCTTTTGGACACTGAACAGGTATTTCTTGTGTGTGCTTGAATCATCCAAAATGATCTGATATTTATCCAAACCAGATATTGTTTTAGATGAACCTTGATGGGGTTTTGTCGTTGCCGAGCTGTATACCAGTGATCGGACGGCACATCCGGGTAACAACACGACTGCTTGCGGACGTTCGGACGTTTTGCTCTCAAATATACAGAACAACATATCTGCGACAACGCACCACACTGTCCTATGGAAGAGAAATAAGAAATAAAATACTTTTGCCAGAAAGACATTTGTCATCTAATTTTTACATGAATACAATTCAAATGCCACATAAAATTGTAAGCAAATTATAGCGTCAACATAAAAACACGAAATCTGATATAAAATTCAATTTTTTAAAGCATGAAAAAAAAAGAAATTTCGTCTGTAACTTATCAACAATTGCTTATTTTGACATTCGGGAAATCATTCTCACACACGGCCACTTACTAGCACGTGCGATAGAAAATTTTGTTATAGACAATGTTGGCAGACTTTTACTCTCTGAGTTTTGCTTTTACCTATATATACCATTTTAATTCATTCAAATACTGTACGTGATGTTCTTTTGGAATTACCAGAAATATGTATATATAAAAATTACGAAATCTATTGAATTACGGACTAGTTCACCTCCCATCTTGATTTTGAAATTTCTCTCGCACACTTCGGGATTTTCTCAGTCGCCTCCTAAGCTTCACAATTAAAGTCCTGATCATCACTGACAAGAGTCCTAGAAGGACTTAACAGCTGTATGATTCAGTTTAATTCAATGTTTGGCTGTAATGTATCTTACTCTAAACTGTTTCGTCCTTCAAGGACTAAGGATAATAATTTTAAAGTCTAGGAGGCGACTGAGGAAAATCCGAAAAAAAGGAAAAATTAAATGGGGAGAGGTGCGCTAATCCCATGATTCATTAAGTAAACAGACAAATTGCAGCCATCATTTTTCAGAATCTGAATTCCTTATGTTGACATCTACCGACAATTAGTGTCCACGCTTACTAGATAAGAATACACTGTTTCATTATTTTATGTTTAGAATGGCTGGCAATGGTGAACCTAATTGAAATATTGTGAAATCACATTTTCTTGAAGTGACACATAGATGTAAGAATATATTAATAAGAAATAGCTCTGAACTTTCAATACTAATTTTGAAATATCCTTATCGTGGGGTCGTTATTTCTGGTAACGTGTTCACCCAAAAATGTCACATGTTAAATAGAGGAAGCAAGAAGTCCCAATGATCGTGATTCTTCCGCGATAAATAGGACCTACATACTAGGGAGGTTCTTACTTGTGATTGCCTTGGTCAAATAACCAGGCGGCGTGCTCAGGTTGTTCAATGTCGGCCATTGTTAGGTCCTTCAGCCTTTCCACCATACTAGCCACACCATTTGTTTTTGAAATATCCTTCTTAATATTTGGTCCAAGTGAATGACCTTGAGCCATTTTGAGCTTCATCTGTTGAAATTGCTCTACAGAGAACACGGAGAGGTCAAGTTCATTGTCGCTGGACGTCTGAAATATATCAAGTATGGAATAGTTAGAGATTTCCAGTTTTAATAAAAACAAAAGAAACAAAACTAATCTACTAATAAAGTTATAGTGTCTTTCTGAACAACGCAGAGAGGCCCTGCTGGGGGAGAAGCAGAATTATGATAAAACATCACAGGTACAATGCTCAGTCGCCAAACATTTATTATGATCGTAAAGAGAAATTATTACTGTAGCGAAGCGTGTGTTTGAGAGAAGTAGACGAAGTGCCAATATTTCAGGGCATATCAACAAAGGTAAAATAATGGAAGAACTAGCAAAATATAAGTTCGGGAGAGGTTTTGGTACATTCAAACTTTAATTTAATTCTCTACAAATTCAACATTTTAACATACTAGAATAATGGTATGTAACTGAAAAACCAAATAAACGTAAGCACACCAGACTTAATGTCGTTTCTACCTACTTTCACTTTTATCATCTCAGAACAACTATTAAATACACGTTAAATCCCTATTGATAAAACACACAAAGGACGTTGATTTTACTTATTCGGCTCGTATGGACTCTTGAATTAATCTACATCAAACAACGTGGATACGTACTCGTTCCGGACAATGAATACTGATCTGTTGTAGATATTTCGGTATGACCTGACAATCAATCCTATCAGTTCTCATACTTGTGTAACTTTCGTTAAGATCGCAAATTTCACGGTGTGGGGTCGTCATTTAGCAAAGTCTGCAGTCATGATACGTAATTATCAGTGAAATTTATAATTGATTTGTAGGTCTGGAGGAAAGGTAAGCAAATTAATGTACATTGGAGATAAATGATTATGTATTCTATGTAAAACAAGAAATCTTAACATCACAATGAGATTAAATCAATCACAGAATCATTATTATAATTGTATATGTCTATAGAATTACATTTAGTGATCAGCGTATCAACATTTTGACATCCAAATTGTTTAATGTTCAATTATTGCTTCTAAAACTTCTATAGTCAGCATTTATCATTCTCATGCCAGGATTTCAGCATTAAGGCAATATTAAGTTAATTAACAGTAACTAAGGAACTCAATTAAAGAAAAATAAAGAATACATGTTTGTCATTGGTATTTCTGGTAACTAATCCAATTATTAACACTATGTACATGTAACGTTATGCACTTGTGTTTTAATTCAAATATTTGTAAACTCATTGTCGTAATTGTTTTTGAATACTCATCGATTAAAAGTTAAATTTAGATAACGATTTGTTTAAATATTCCAAATTAAAGCAAGTTTCCTTAAGATATTCTAATGGTCACGTGCCCTGGTGACATGATCGGCATTTGAGATTTTTTTTTCGTTGAGATCGAGTGAGACTTGATGTTTTGATTGTTTATCTAGATCTATGTTCATACATGTAATACCACAGATAACAATCGGATCTCTTTATGGATAACAGTGTTTTCATTTCGAACAATACAAAAGCTGAAGTATTACATTTCCCGACACCGCCTTACATTCCACGACGTCGATATCAGACATGTATTGTGTGGGGATCAAATCCGAATACAACACGATAAAACATCTCCCCTACAAACTATACAGTGTAGTCTTCAATCAACAGAGCATGAAAAACTTACTCTATCACCTGATGTTAAAATCAAACGTGCCAACAATATCTATTTTTTTCTTTTGCCATTAAAACAAACAACCTTTCATCTGCATTGTGTAACGTAACATACCCACATGTAATGTATATCGTAAATATTCACGATAAGGATAAGGAAGGCCTTTGTGAAAGCATCATCGCTTTCGATAGCTCTGCCATAAACAAGTTTTCACGAGTTGTGACCAAAAAATACTGGAGAAAATGCAATTTCAGCTGATAACCGTCTGGTTGTTGGAATTTCGTGTTGTAAATTAGCAAGATCGAACTATAATCTGTGCACTAAATTTATTCAACATTTTGACTATTTCTATGATTTTCAAAAAGAAACTACCCAAAATATTTAAATATCGATAAATTATATAAATAAATGTAGTTTTAGAATACTTTCAAACAACCAACGACACAGTATCGTTACCCATGTGACGTCTACATCATGAAAGAGCTTGTCGAAAATACATACATACCGTTAAGTGCAATGGAACGTCTACATCACATGGAAGATTGCCAGACCATGTGACGTCTGTATCTCAGGACACCTTGTCAAAAGTGCATACAGTACAGTAAAGTTATCCATGTGATGTGACAATTACTAGAAACCTTACCACATGCAATAAACTTTTGATGTCTTTTCCATAAGAAAGCTTACCACTAGTACAACAGACAGTGCAATCGTCAAAGTGTCTTTATCCAACAGAAGCTTCCAAAGGCACAATAACAGAGAAATGTTCTATAAGTAATAACAGTAACGGATAACAGTATATAGTAGTAAAACTGTCCATAGTAAATCTACCTCATGAAAAAGGTTCATCCAGGTACAACATTACAGTAAATATTAAGATCGTGCAGGTAACGTCTATATCCATTTAAAGCCTTCCAAAGGCACTACAATAGAAGTTATTTAACTTGTATCCCGATGGTTGTACCAACGTTAACAGAGGGTATTAGGAAGCTGAGGTGATACCCACAATACATCATTTATGTAATAAATACGACACATAATTAGCTTGTTGATCGATTCTTTAGTTTACGTGAAAACTGTACTCGGCATTGGCCTAAAACCAATGTTATAATAAATCTCTTAAAAGTCAAACACGCTTAGGAGCTGCGGTTTTCTTGGTCATTATTTAGCTGTAAGACGTAGTCAGCAAGCCTTACATTTGACTTGTGTGTTAAACTGGTTGTGTATCAATATCTTAGGGATTATTGCCGATTATACAGGTATATTATACTAGTAAAACTTAAATTAATCCCGACTCTGGTTCTTACATTTAATATATACTAGGAGTATCGTACCTGCTAGAAGTCAACAGTCGTTATTGTTTATTTCAGATGGAGACTCCATGGTTATGTATTTGCAAAGTAATGGAAGTCTCAACTTCCACTTATGTAGAGAACAAAAAGCAGATTATTTGACCCATTAATCCACAGTAAACAACAAGAAAATACCAAAAAATCAGCATGATCATAATCAAAACTTAAATTCAATAAAACTACGGCAAAATTTTAACAAATGCTATTTTCTTAAAATGCCCTAAATAAACTCGAGATATAGAGGAAAATGTTACCACATAGTTTTCAAATACAGTCTCAAGATAAAAGATATGATATCAGCACATTGTCTCCCCCTCAGTGCTTTAAAATGTAAAGTACTCGCCACAGCCTTGAGGCGAAGAACACGATATCGCACGGGTACACATACTATTGTTGATAATTAATCTATTTAAACAGATGAGATACATATCAGCGGTTATGTTAATTGACATAGTGCCTCGTATTACACTTTACTTTACCAAATTCAATATTACGTCTAATCCTTTAGATACAATCTAATAACACTTGTATTTATAGTCGATATCATATTCTTAGAGACGATATCATTAAAACTCTTAACCTAGTTATTCGATATCATCTTTTTATTCATGAAGAAACGAATCTTTTAAGTGAGGTTAAATTATTGTACTGAACTGTATAATGTATTTGTGTTAGTTCGTTTACTGTTCATTTTGCTGTAAAAAAAACCCCAAGATAATACTGCAATATCTACGACTCAATACTGACATCAACACAAATGGAATAGGTGTATAAAACCTCCACGAATAACGAGAAAGGCAAAACGAACATGTGAAGAGCGAAAACACCAGATGAAAGATGGAGATTCCATGCAGATAGCGAAGATACCGAAACGTAAAGTAAAAAATATCCACAGAACAATAGTCTTCTTATATTTTTGTTATGATAATTTTAATTACACAAATAAATGATATCAAACAACATGTGAATAATGTATCAAAAGTGATAACTATACGTATACATGTAAAACAACGCTTTGGATAAAAATGCTTTGATATATGCTGCCAATTCATGCTAATATGTCGCTATTAAAAAACTCGGAACAGCTGTTTAAAATAAATCTGTAATAGCACGATGATTTAACACGGAACAGAAACCCCTGAATTCTGGATAAATCATATAAGGTTTGATTGTCAACATGCCATACCGTTATACACTGCACCATGAGCTGTAAAGAACAACATCATTCTAGGGCAGAAATGTTGATGCCATTTAGTGTGGTCAATATACAGTATGGAAGTAACACTAACAAATACAATGTACAATACCATACCTCTTGCAAGATCTTCTTAATACCATGGATACATCTCTTGTATCTATGCCATATAAACGATAGACTCCGCGTTGTAATCGCTACTACAGACAAAGATATTTTAACAGTGAGAAATGTCTGAACACCGTAGAGAATCACACTGCCGATAGCATTATGTTAAATAAGCTGTTCAACGTAAATTAGATTAGAATAATGTATACGTTCTGATCTCACGTAATTCCATCAGAAATACAGGTATGTCTTGAGGCCAGACCAGACACTCTCATACACAAAACGTAGTAAGTTCCATCAAGGATCAAACGAACCTCATATTTCCAAAAACGTTTGTCTTTCCCAAAGCACAGTCACAAATTGGTTGGTTTAATGCATATGTTTTAAATGTACGATTCCTCAGTCGCACTTTTGTATACTTATTTGTTAAACACTTCCGCAGATGTATTGCTGCCAATAACGTCACACCGAATTTAAAAGTATAATACAATGACAGGGTGTATACTGATCTTCTATCGCGAGTCCGGAATGTATTATAATTTCATAAGCTTTGGGTAGCACAGAGAGCTTGGGTTAGAGTACTTACTGTTCCACGCTCACCATTGTTGAATGGCTTACACAGAAACAGGTACTCATATCCTTAGTCTGTTGTACACAAGATTTAGTATCTCCAGACGTGTGACCTATATTCATAAAAATATAGGACCCTCTGCAAGGTCGACCATTTATTCTGCCAATGTGGTCA